AAATTCGAGAAATCGAAAAAAAAGATTATAACATAAATCATATAGGAAAATCAAATACTAGCTAAAAATAAATGTATTCCCCGAAGTCTCAAGAACAGCGTACAAACGCCGAAAGGCTTCTAGACGTTGCCTTTCCAACTTTCTCCGAGACCTCGACTGTACGTGCCAACGGGGCAAATCCCTTAGGTGTAAAAATTCAGTCCCCTCTTGAGACTTCAATGTTTTGTAGGTGGCTCCTAGAAAAATCTTCTTCTCCTTATGCCCAAATGTTTGCTGCTGCAAGGTTAAGGGGTCTCGTCTTGGATCATTATACTATGTTTTCCATGCCACAAAAAATAGAACTGAGTACGGGTTTGCTCTTTTCGGGCTGAATAATTATATATTGTGTTTTAACAAAGAAATAATAAACGCGTTTTTCTTTTTTTTTCTGCCAAATTACTTGTCTAATTTTTGTTATAAATCTCAATCAAATAAATAAATGAAATAAAATATAATATAAGGGAATTTTGTCCTGAATTATATAGCACAGCATCCAGATTATCAGCCTTTTGTTTTATCTTCTCTAGCTCAACTTTTTGCTACTATAACAAAAGTTGGATGGTTTGAAGGCGAAGAATTTAAAAATATTACTAACGATTTGTCCAATTTTATTCAGGTAAGTGTTATTTTTATGATCTAGTTTTTTTTTGATCTGATTGTATTTTTCTTGGTGTAATTATAAAGCGAAAGCTTTTATGCAACGCGTATAACTCTTTTGCGCTTAAAGTCCACACCAGACCATATTATTGTAGGTTTGCAAATTCTTTCTATAACCGTCGTGGAAATGAATCAACAATCATCAAGAAATTTAACTAAACAAAGAAAAACTGGTACGTGCTTTTATTTTCGTTATGCTGTCTTATTTTCGTCTTTCAAAATATATATTTAATAATTTTTTTATTTAAGCGATTGGATTCAGGGATACCGCGTTATTAGAGATTTTTCAGTTAGGATTGGTTGTTTTGCGAAGATTGTTGAACGGTGGAATCTTATTCGCGAATGGTTCGGTGTACTTTTCATAATTTTTTCGTGCAACTAAACATAGGTTCATAGTTAAAAAAGTTTTTTTTTTTTTTCATTCAGATCTTCAGGAACACAAATCGAAAGAATATTGTTTAACATTGCTTCGCAATTGTTTGGCTTTTGACTTTATCGGCACTTCTCCTGATGAATCCGGTGAAGATGTTGGAAGCATCCAGGTACGATATAGTAATACCCTGTTTTTGTTATATGCTATTTCTAATTGATTATACCTGATTATCACTGATTATTTGATTAATACGTTTTATATAGGTTACATCATCGTGGCGTTCAACAGTTGAAGATTCATCATTTCTTCAAATCATGTTTGAAGCATATAAGCAATTCCAGCCACCTCATTCAAGCCAAGTACTATTTTTTATACTTATATATATGAAATTATTTTTATAATCATTCAATACTAATGTTTTATAAATTTCACAAGGTCATGGAGGTTATTGTTCAAATTTCTTCCATTCGCAGATCTCTATTCAATGAAGAAGAAAGATCCAAGTTCTTATATAGTTTGATGAAAGGAATCAGTGAAATCCTGATTGGAAACATAGGGCTTTCTGATTTGAACAATTATCATGAGTTTTGCCGCCTTCTTTCTAGGTTTAGATCAACATATCAATTGAGCGAAATTGCTGAAAAATCTGGATACAATGAATGGATTGATTTGGTTGCTGACTTTTCTATTAAAGGCTTCAATAATTGGCAGGTACTGAACTTTATATCAACGTTTAATATATACATTTATTTTTAGCTAGTATTTGATTTTCCTATATGATTTATGTTATAATCTTTTTTTTCGATTTCTCGAATTT